GTCTTCCTTATGGAAAGATGCCAAAGCAGAACAGTATATTTCCTTTTTGTGTCTTTCAAATCTAATATCTATAAATCATGGTATATAATACTGTGGCTACTCAGAACCTATTTATCCACAATCAAGCAGTGGATTAATTAAGCCCTACCTTTAGTAGGGGAAAGTATCTATACACATTGTTTGGAATTCTTCTATAGGGAGGATTTGTCCCTTCTCCACTGCCTATTTATTTATAAGTCACTGCCTCTATGCCCTCTTGTTTTTCTGTGAAATTAAAAAATTCAGTTTTATTTTCCTCTTTAATTACAAGTTTGCTTAGGAGTGTGCTTATTTTTTTATTATTTTTTAATATATATATTTTTTCTTTCAGAATATTACTGGGGTATAAATGTTTAGGTTACATATATTGCCCTTGCCCCACCCAAGTCAGAGCTTCAAGCATGTCCATCCCCTACACAGTGCGTACCACACCCATTAGGTGTGAATATACCCATCCCCTCTGCTCCCCTCCCTCCTGCCCGACCCCCGATGAATGTTACTACCATATGTGCACATAAATGTTGATCAATACTAATTTGTTGGTAAGTACCTGTGGTGCTTGTTTTTCCATTCTTGTGATACTTCACTTAGTAGAATGGGGCCCAGCTCTATCCAGGATAATACAAGAGGTGCTAGATCACCATTGTTTTTTGTGGCTGAGTAGAACTCCATGGTATACATGTACCACATTTTACTAATCCACTCATGTATTGATGGGCACTTGGGTTGTTTCCACATCTTTGCAACTGTGAATTGTGCTGCTATAAATATTAGTGTGCAGATGTCTTTATTATAGAATGCCTTTTTTTCCTTGGGGTACATGCCCCATAATGGGATTGTTGAATCAAATGGTAGTTCTACTGTATCTCTTTAAGGTATCTCTGTATTACTTTCCACAGAGGTTGTACTAGTTTGCAGTACCATCCGCAGTATATGAGTGTTCTTATCTCTCTGCATCCACTCCAACAATTATTGTTTTGGGACTTTTTGATAAAGGCCATTCTCATTGGAATTAAATGATATCTCATTGTGGTTTTGATTTGCATTTTCCTGATGACTGCAGATGTCGAGCATTTTTCATACGTTTTTTGGCCACTGGTTTGCTGTGCATTGTAAGACAGCTAGGCCTATTTGCCAGAGGCTGCATTTTCCAACATCCTACTTCAATTTTTTAATTTGTATTCATTAAAGTTCACTCTCTATAATGTACAACTGTATGGTTTTTGACAAATGTATACATTCTTGTATCTACCACTGCAGTACCATACAGAAAAGTTCCATCACACTAAAACTCTTTCTGTGTAATCCCATTAGAGTCAACCACCTCCTCTTCACCTAACATGTAACAGCCACTGATATGTTTACCATCCCAAAAGTTTTGCCTTTTTCAAATGTCATATGAATGGAATTATATAATATCTATATAACTTTTTGCCTGGATTATTTTTGTTAGCAAGATTCATTTAAGTTTTATTCAGGACTTTTGTGTAAGTAAATAGCTTGTTTCTTTTTATTTTAGGACATTCTATTGTATAGATTTATCAACTTTATCCATTCACCAATTAAAGGACATCCAATTTTTGGTAATTATGTAAACAAAGCTGCTCTAACATGTAAACAGAATGTTGAGTGAATATAGGTTTTGATGTACTTGTATAAACATCTGTTAATAGAAGTAGCATTGATGAGCCGGGCATGGTGGCTCATGCCTGTAATCCTAGCTCTGGGAGGCTGAGGCAGGAGGATTGCTCGAGCTCAGGAGTTCGAGAGCAGCCTGAGCAAGAGTGAGACCCCATCTCTAATAAAAATAGAAAAAATTAGCCACTCAACTAAAAAATGAAACAAAAAATTAGCCAGGTGTGGTGGCGCATGCCTGTAGTCCCAGCTACTTGGGAGGCTGAGGCAGAGGCAGAAGGATCACTTGAGCCCAGGAGTTTGAGGTTGCTATGAGCTAGGTTGACACCACTGCACTCACTTTAGCCCAGGCAATAAAGCAAGACTCTGTCTCAAAAAAAAAAAGTAGCACTGATGACTTGTATGGTAAGTCTATGTTTATATATAAGAAACTGCCAAGATAGTTCCCAAAGTGGCTGTAGCATATTTCATTCCCAACAGCAACAAGTGAGAGTTTCTGTTAGTATGCATCTTTGACAGCATTTGTTATTGTTAGATTTTTGAATTTTAGCCATTATAGTGATATCGCACAGCAAATACCTGGGAATGGAATTGCAAAGTCATAGGGCAACTCCATGTTAAACATATTGAGGAACTGCCAAACCTTTTTCTAAAGTGGCTGCATCATTTTACATTCCTATCAGCAATAGATGAGGATTCCAATTTTTCCTTGTCAACACTCATTTTTTGGTCAACACCTTGACAAGATCCTTGTCAACACTCATTTTTGTCTTTTTTTTATTAGCGCCATCTTAGTGGGTGATGATACTTCACATATATTTCTATCAAAGCTTTCATGCTACATATTTAGTTCATTCAACTTATGAAGGAATTTGAATGAAAAAACTGCAAAGCCAGTTTTTATTACTACAACAATCAGCCGCATGTATTTGCTTTCTCCAAAATTAAAATCTCTCATTCATTTTCAATTCTAATAGATATTTTCATTTTCACAAAAACCATGTCTCTTTTTTGGCTCAATTTCTATGTGATAAAGATAGCTGGAGTAGAGAGAGAAGAAATGGGCCTCATTATAACTTTGTAGTCTGAAAGAAATGTCACCATTACTTTCAGCACTTATTACTGATACTCTCTTTACTATGATCTTATGGATTCCCCTGCAGAAGTCACCATGCACTCCTTCGTGGTAACCTGAGAATGAAAGAAGCAAGGTAATGAAAACATGACATCATTCCCATCCCACCATAGAATATACCTAAGACTGAACGCTAACACCAAGCTACACCCTCAATAGAAGTATTTATCAAAATAAAGAAAAAACAGAACCATACAATGTTGCCTTGAATAAATAAGGTTTTGTAGATCCATTATTTCAAATTCCTTTTATTTGGCACTGCAGAGCTGTTTGCATATCAATATAATTAAGATTTGACATGGATAAGGGGTGTGCACGTTATTGGAGGTGTTCTGTTTTGTTTTTTAGGATTAAGAGTAACTATTAAAGAGATTGGGGGGTCAGGGGGTGGAGAAGCCAGCAGGAGTCTCAGTCCTCTGGACCTTTCTTATTCCAGGGTTTCTTCACCACCCCAACTCGTACCCTAAGGCAGGTACGCCTACTCACTAAGCAGTTGCAGTTTCAATGCGTACCTAGCAAATCCAGATTGACAGGACCATGGACCAATCGCAGAGCTAGATTTCCTTTCCCAGTCTAATAATGGCTGTTGTCCTGGAGATTTAGTTGGGGGTGGGGCACAAGGTTGTAAGGGGTGGGGCAAGAGGAAGAGCGTTAGAAAACACCACCCACCCAGCCTCCCAGCAGCCAACCGGTTCTTCAGCATTGGGATCTAAGTGTCATCTTATGTCTTTATAATATCAAGATGTCTCTTTCTAAAAAGTTGACTTTGGACAAACTGGATGTTAAAGGGAAGCGAGTCGTCATGAGGGTAGACTTCAATGTTCCCATGAACAAGAAAGAGATCACAAACAACCAAAGAATCAAAGCTTCCATCCCAAGTATCAAGTACTGCCTGGATAATGGAGCCAAGTCAGTAGTTCTTATGAGTCATCTAGGCAGGCCTGATGGTGTTCCCATGCCTGACAAATACTCCTTAGAACCTGTTGCTGCTGAGCTCAAATCTTTACTGGGCAAAGAAGTTCTATTCCTGAAGGATTGTGTAGGCCCAGAAGTGGAGAAAGCCTGTGCCAACCCAGCTGCTGGTTCAGTCATCCTGCTGGAGAACCTGCGCTTTCACGTGGAGGAAGAAGGAAAGGGACAAGATCCTTCTGGAAAGAAGCTTAAAGCTGAGCCAAATCAAATAGAAGCCTTCAGAGCATCACTCTCCAAACTAGGGGATGTCTATGTCAATGATGCTTTTGGCACTGCTCACAGAGCTCACAGTTCTATGGTGGGAGTGAATCTTCCCCAGAAGGCATCCGGATTCCTGATGAAGAAGGAGCTGGAATACTTTGCCAAAGCCTTGGAAAACCCAGAGAAACCCTTTCTGGCTATACTTGGTGGAGCCAAAGTGGCAGACAAGATCCAACTCATCAAAAATATGCTGGACAAGGTCAATGAAATGATTATTGGTGGTGGAATGGCTTTTACCTTCCTTAAGGTACTCAACAACATGGAGATTGGTGCTTCCCTGTTTGATGAAGAGGGAGCTAAGATTGTCAAAGATATCATGGCCAAAGCAACTAAGAATGGTGTAACTATTACTTTTCCTGTTGACTTTGTCACTGCTGACAAGTTTGATGAGAAAGCTCAGGTTGGGCAAGCCACTGTAGCATCTGGCATACCTTCTGGCTGGATGGCTTTGGACTGTGGTCCTGAGAGCAACAAGAAGCATGCTGAAATTGTGGCTCGAGCAAAGCTAATTGTTTGGAATGGACCTTTAGGAGTATTCGAATGGGATAACTTTTCTAAGGGAACCAAATCCCTCATGGATGAAATTGTGAAAGCCACTTCCAAGGGCTGCGTCACCATTATAGGAGGCGGAGACACTGCAACTTGCTGTGCCAAATGGAATACTGAAGACAAAGTCAGCCATGTGAGCACTGGAGGCGGTGCCAGTCTAGAGCTTCTGGAAGGCAAAGTCCTTCCTGGAGTAGAAGCCCTGAGCAACGTGTAGTTGAAAGACTATTACATCCTCCTGTTTCCTGTCCACAGCGTTTAGGTCAGCTTAATACTTGTACATCTCAACTTGACTTTTGTTAAAAACTACCCCTAGATCAAGACCCTGGTAATGGACAGGCAGTGGGCCATCAGCAACTCTTAACATCAGCACTGCAATTCAACTCATTTTAGTTCGGTCATGCATCTGCCAATTCTTTCCAAGATCTCATCTGAACTTCATTGCTCTTTGTAGGGAGGACATATTCTTAAGTTGCCTATTAAAGAAAGTGAGTGGAATAAGCTGAATCTCTCTTTTTATGGTAGCCTAGCTTTGTTATGGTTTCACTTTTTGAAGCATAGAAACAAGACAAAACCCAAGTTGTTGGGACAGGGTTGGGTAAAAGTTGACAAACTGTTAAACAATAAAAGTGCCCATGGCCGGGCGAGGTGGCTCACGCCTGTAATCCTAGCACTCTGGGAGGCCGAGGCGGGAGGATCTATGGAGATCAGGAGTTCGAAACCACCCTGAGCAAGAGCAAGACCTTGTCTCTACTCTAAATAGAAAGAAATTAATTGGCCAACTATTACATATAGAAAAAATTAGCCGAGCATGGTGGTGAATGCCTGCAGTCCCAGCTACCTGGGAGGCTGAGGCAGCAGGATTGCTTGAGCCCAGGAGTTTGAGGTTGCTGTGAGCTAGGCTGATGCCATAGCACTCGCTCTAGCCTGGGCAACAAAGCGAGACTCTGTCTCAAAGAAAAAAAAAAACAAAAAAAACAATAAAAGTGCCCAAATAAACTGAGAAATATAATTACATATAAGAACTCAAGGATGGGTACCATTAAAGCAGAGGGTACTGCTTTGGGAAAAACACTCCCCAAACCATCCTTTCCTCTAAACTCCACAATGATCAACACAGAACAGAAATTCTGTGACCAAATGTGGGGTTTTCCCCACACACACCAAGCAGTGGACACCAGCTGGGTGTCCTCTAATTCAATTCTGACACTATGTACCCAGAGATAGTGTCAGGTCCCACAGGGTGAGAGCTCAGTCCCCAAGGCTGCCCCCTCCCACACCTGTCATGAGTCCAGGCCTCTGGAGCTTCTGACTGACTGGGTTCAAGTTGGGTTTCCCAGGGCCCCCTCCCTCACTGGGTTTGATTAACTTGCTGGAGCAGCTCACAGACCTCAGGGAAACATGTTTACTGATTTGTTATAAAGGACACGGGATATATATTACAAAGGGATACGGACAAATAGATGCATAGGGTGAGGTACAGGGGAAGGGGTGCAGAGCTTCCATGCCCTCCTAAGTGCACCACCCTCCAGGAACCTCCATGCCTTCAGCTATCCGGAAGCTCTCCCAACCCTATTTTCTTGGGTTTTTATGGAGGATTCGTTACATAGGCATGATTGACAACCATGTAGAGATGTGACTGGACAAAAAGCTCATGATCTGAGCCCAGCAAGGCCTGTCTGTCCAGATTCTTTCTGGCCTCTCCGGGTAGCATTCCATCCTCCAGGGTGTGGGGCAGAACCTCCTCTGGAATGAGGGGCTTTGGACCCACAACCAGATTAGAGTCCTGCCTTGGGCAGGGGAAAGGAAGGCAGGAGAAGGTCAGAGAGAGAGGTTCTATCTCCTGAGACCTGCTCCTAAGGCCTAAAGTGCTCCCAGCTTATAACAAGGACTATGGCACTCATGAGCCAGGGACTGTGGACAAAAATCAACATACATATATCATAACACCACGAGTACCCATGAAATTCTGTACTAAATAAGAAAAAATAGAAATGAAAAATACTAAGCTAAAGAGGCTAAAAAAAAAGAAATTGGAACCCAAGGAATGAATTATGTCTTTGCGTATATGGACACACAAGAGTACATATATATGTTTGTTAGAAAAGAAGCTATGAATTAAACCAAGGTTGTAAATAAAGAACTAATTGTTTTATTTTCAAAGTAGATATTATTTGATAAATAGATAATATAACTGATAAATCCTAAAGCTCAGTTTTTGAGATAAATATGTATATAATTAGTTTAGTAATGGGAAAAACAGAGATATAAAAACTCTCCTATGTTAGAAGCTAGAGGAATAAAATAATAAGTGTAGAAGAAATGAAAAAAATTACTGAAAAATATTTTGCCTTGTTCTGTAGACAAAGAGCTGGTACAAGGCAATTTTGTTAAAAAAAATTAAGAGTAAAAATACAGAGTCACTTTTCTCAGCTATAATATTTTATGTTCCATATAACATTTTATGTTCCAATTTTATGTATTCAGTATTCTGAATAATTGAGCTCCAAATATAAATCTCAATACCCTTGAAACATCAACATATTTTTAAGGAGAAGGTTAATAATACTATACCGATCCCAGAGACGATATAGCTGCTATGGTTCAGTATTTTAAAAAAGAACCAAAATTTCAGGAGTTGAAACAAGATTCAAACATACTAGTGTCTCACATGAAAGTCCAGGGCAAATATTTGGGCTTTCCTTTACAAGATCATCTGGGGAACAAAACCTGTATAACAAACCTGGTTGCTCTTACTAAGTGGGTTCAATATGTGTATGAGGTGAATGCCCAAACTTTTAATATTTGATTACCAGCCTGAGGGGGTAAGTTATTGAAAGGCAATCAGTTTTCTTATAAATACATGATCCAAAAAGTTCAGATATTTGTTTTAGTTGCTCTATTGGCTATAGATAAATGTATGATAAGGCCTATTTTGCAAGGGAGGCCTGAGAATGTATTCTTTCTAGCTAGATACCTTGTACCCAACTAAAAATCAATAGATGTTATTGCTAAAAGGAGGTGGTGGGGGGAGAGTTGGTGAATAAAAACTAGAGAAAATTAATGATTTCTGACAGACTGTCACTCTGGCCATCCAAGTATGTATGTACAAGTATCTGTGTATATTTTTGCATATAAAAGTATTCCTTCTTCAAAAGACACTATACAATGAAATGTCTTGTCCAGTTAGTGCATCTGCTCAAGATTGAGTATCTCTGGATAACACACAATTCTTTCTATGTGATCCAGTGGGGGACCAACAGTCTCACAAACTCAAAACCATAGCCATTTCTCATACCTCCTACTCTTCCTATTCCATACATAGCCAATACACAATAGTGGAAGTCTACCATTTGACAAAATTCAACACCCTTTTATGATAAGAACGCTCAACAAAATAGCATAGACGGGCTTACGTAAAAATTATATAGCCATATATGACAAACCCACAGCCAATATCATACTGAATGAGGAAAAATTGAAAGCATTCCCACTTAGAACTGGAACAAGACAAGGTTGTCCACTATCTCCACTTCTATTCAACATAGTGCTAGAAGTCCTCGCTACAGCAATCAGACAAGAGTGCAGAATTAAGGGCATCTAATGGGAGCAGAAGAGATCAAATTCTCACTCTTTGCTGATGACATGATATTATACCTAGAAAACTCCAAGGAGTCAACCAAGAGACTCCTTGAATTGATAAATGAATTTGGTAAAGTCTCAGAATACAAAATCAATACACAGAAATCAGAGGCATTCATATACACACAACAACAGTACAAGTGAGAACCAAATCAAAGACTCATTCCCTTCAAAATAGCAACAAAGAAAAAAAGTACCTAGGAATATATTTAAATAAGGAGGTAAAAGACCTCCACAGGGAGAACTATGAAACACTGAAGAAAGAAATAGCAGAGGATGTAAACAGGTGGAAGAATATACCATGCTCATGGGTTGGCAGAATCAACATTGTTAAAATGTCTATACTACCCTAAGTGACCTACAGAGTCAATGCTATCCCTATCAAAATGCCACCATTATTTTTTTACAGATATAGAAAAAATAATTTTACACTTCGTATGGAACCAAGAAGACTCGGTATAGCAAATCAATCCTAGAAACCCAAACAACAAATAGAGGTATCAATTTACCAGACTTCAAACTATACTACAAGCTATAGTCATTAAACAGCTTGGGACTGGCACAAAACAGGGGCATTGACCAGTGGAACAGAACCAAGAACCTAGATATAAACCACCTCATATAGCCAACTAATCTTTGACAAAGCAGACAAAAATATACACTGGGAAAAGAAACCTTAACCAATAAATGGTGCTGGGAAAACCGGATAGCCACATGTAGAAGACTGAAACAAGACCCACACCTTTCACCTCTCACAAAAATCAACTCATGCTGGGTAACAAACTTGAACCTCAGGTGTGAAACTATTAGAATTCTAGAGGAAAACATTGGAAATACTCTTCTAGACATTGGGCTAGGCAAAGAATTTATGAAGAAGACCCCAAAGGCAATCACAGCAACAACAAAAATAAATAAATGGAACCTGATCAAATTAAAAGTTTCTGCACAGCCAAAGAAACTGTCAAGAGAGCGAACAGACAACCCACAGAATGGGAGAAAATTTTTGCAAGCTACACATCTGATAAAGGGCCGATAACTAGAATTTACTTAGAACTCAGGAAAATCAGCAAGAAGAAATCAAACAACTCTATCAAAAAATGGGTAAAGTCACTAGGGTTTGGGGGAGGGGGAGATACACATCTTAGGGTTGTGGTAAGCATAGTGGGTGGGAGAGGGAATACATCTAAACCTTCCAAGGGAAAGGCTAAGATATACAATGTAACCCCAAAGGTCAAAAAAGGGAAAAAACAAACAAACAAACATTTATCGAGTGGTGGGCAAATGGGAGGGGGGAGGAGGGGAAGAAATTACACTTACAAAATAGGTGCGATGAGCACCACCTGAGAGTAGGGCATGCTTAATGTTTTGGTAAGGTGGGGGGGGGCATGGGGAGGAATGGCATGGGCAATATATGTAACCCTAACAATATTTGTACTCCCATAATATGAAAAAATAAAAATTTTTTAAAAAATTAAAAATGCAAAAACAAAATGGGCAAAGGACATAAACAGAAGCTTCTCAAAAGAAGAAAGAAAAATGGCCAACAAACATATGAAAAAATGCTCAACATCTCTAACCATCAGGGAAATGCAAATCAAAACGGTCTTCTCATACTGAACATGGTTTGCTGGAATACACCCACACAGATGATGTTCTGTTCCTCAAAAAACAAAATTATATAACTCTCAGAGTGAAATACTAAGCTAAAGAGGCTAAAAAAACGAAATTGGAACGAGAAATGATCAAACTCCCTATACTCGTTGCTCTTTGCGTATATGACACAAGAGTACATATATATGTTTCCGCTGTTCCAGTCAAAGATACATCACTAATAGACCAGTCATTA